TAACCGAGTGAGATCAACAGTTACCTTAAACAAGAATTTTGATGCTTGATTTGATCAGAGTTTGTTTGCCTTTTACTGTAATCCAGCAGGAATGCAAATCTCAACCCTAAATAATCTCCCAAATACCTGTTGCCTTTTTTATGGTTACTGTATCTTTACGTTTCGAAAGAGTTTCTTTTTTGGCCAAAAAGAATGCGATTAAACTTAAACTTACGCTAAATGTACAAGCGGAATGCCAAAAGACAGCACTATTATTTAGTATTTAGTATTTATTTATTTATTGTCATTGTCAAGAACAATGAAATTGCGTTTGGGGCTTCCATACAACCCAAAAAAAAGAAGAAAATAATAAATACCCCTTAAAACCCAAGTGTACATATTTAACCCAGTGTGACTCCAATGCAATAAGACAATCCTTAGCAATAATGTTCGTAGAAATTCAGACAAAGACCTGAGAAACATGACAAAATACAACAATGCAACCCATTCAATATTATTGTACTGTGAGATATGATATCAGATATGATAGTTATCTATTTAAGAAAGAGGGGGGGGGGCAGGAGGGGGAAGAGAATAAAGATATGATGCACCAATGCAGACCAGTTCATTGCTATTAAGAAGTTGGATATGGTTATTGTCCGTGAGAGGGGGGCAGAGAGTTCAGGAGCCTCACAGCCTGTGGATACAGGCTGTTGGCCAGTCTGGATGTTCTGGCCTGTATAGACCTGTACCTTCTCCCTGAGGGCAGCAGATGGAAAAGGTGGCGCGCAGGGTGATGTTGGTCCCGCAGGATACTGTGCACCCTCCTCAGACAGCGAGTGGGGAAGATATTACTGATCTCTGGCAGACTTGTTCCAATAATTAGAATAGAAAACGAAAACAAAACATCCTCTATTGGAGAGTAGCCATTTTTGGTGTTTGCCTCCATTGTTGTCTGGGCGAATCGTGGCCACCTGCGCACCAGACAGTCGTAAACATTTGTTATCAACACATCCAGCCTATCGTGCTTATCGCCCAAGTCAAAACAAAAACGACCCAGGCAGACCTAGGCACAGTAAACACATCATTCAGGTTCCCTGCTTGTAAATGAGCCTTCAACACAAAGAACGTCACAGGAAATGGGCCTTGTTGTGCTCTATCTTCTTTCCTTAACAGTGAGCTACTCAGTTCCTTTGGACTGTAAAGCATAACATCAACCTCCTGTTAATCTTGGCTGTACCTGCCACTGAAAAATACCTATCAGAAGGCCTGTCCCTTTCCTTCTTTTTTGAGATTTGCCTGTTTGAGCCTTGCCTTTCTCTTAGAGCAGCTTGATGATGTGGTTCGAAACAGCTGTCTGCAGCTGCAGCCACCCTCAACAACCCTCTGTTTTCTCAGAGGCATAGTGCCAATGTTTAGTCAGTTTCCAGAGCGTCTTGCCTGGTTGAGATCGTGTCAATATCAGCCAGCTCTCCAGGTGAATCCTCCTCAACCCCCACTTCCTCTGCTCCCTGCTGCTTTCATCTCTCTATCTCGAATGCCTTGAAGACGTGACTTGGCCCATTTTAGAAAAATTCCTTCCTTTTACCGTTTTCAAAACTGCTCATTGTGTTTTGCTACAGGTGCTTAAAGATTTTTTTTCCTCCTTTCCTATCGTGGCACTGAATTTTTTTTCTCCCACCCCCCTCTCTGTTGCCACTGAGGAGCCCTGTCCTTATCCAATAAAATGTCACCACACAAGATGAACAAGAACAAAGAGGCTCAAAGTATATCAGACTTCCTATCAAGCATTTTGTTTTGAACAGGAGCACCATAAACGAAAAAAGTACTCACCATGTTGTGCTGTCTCCTCCAATCAGCTGTTTCCATTCTTGAGAAATGCAGTAAACATTTAAGCCGTTATCAGGCAGTTGTTGACGCTTCGGTGGGTTTAGCTCTTCGAGCATTGAAAGTTCGACTTCTATAGTATGATTATCAAGTCAGATCTGCTCTTGTGCAATAAATATTTCCTACTTGTTATCACCCTGCATATCTTAGTGTCGATATATACATCTATCTATCCATCTATCGACATATATATATATATAAGTAAAATGCCTGTGACCTGCACATTTGGTACAAAAAGCATAATTTTACGGCCTCATCTGGACAATAAATATACTAAATTCCATTTAATCCAGTGACATATTTGTCATTCTTTACAAAACCAGGCATTTGATAAGTTTTATTTCCAGACTGGCTTGATGCCATGACACCAATGTTCAGATGCCAAACATCCCATGGCATATCTATGGCATAAATAAACAGGATATAAAATCTTTGAGATTCTTTTTTTCTAGATGTAATGTCATCACTCAGCAGTTATAACAACTTTTCCGTCTGTGGCAGCTGCAATATTTCAGAGGAAGGCAAACACAGTCTGACACTGCCAAACTGCTAATGTGTTGACACGCGAGGCTTTGTTGACAAAAGGTCGTCTATGGTTCTTGGCTCTAAAGTAGCACTGTGATCCTTTTGTGTAGCAGAAAATGCTCAATGAAGAAGAACTCTACTGAAGATTAACAATATACTTGGTAGCTGTTTGCACTAAATCCGCAAAACACTCCAAAGGTGATCTGTGCAGTTTACCTCTAATGCTTTGTCAAGTGTGACAGATTCTTGAAAAAGGTGCATATAAGCAGGTTATTACATGTGGGCAAATTAGGCTTGTCAGCAAGTTTAGCTCTGTTTAATAAAACACCCAAATAAGGTTAAACAAATTTATTTTTTACGTTTGATGAAAAGTTTGAACCACAAACAATAGATTTTCTTAGAGAAATGTTATTTTGAACACCGGTATCAGTTCAGACTCAGAACCATAATCCTCTGCTGATGAATGTAATGGTAATACTACTTAGATTTTGTAGTTTGTATTCAGAAATGCCATTCTTTATTATTCCCTTCATCTTCTTTTATTTTGAATAGGGTAGATATATACGTGTTCAAATGATGCTAACTGGTTTAAATGGACATATTAATGTTTTCCAGTACTAAACACATCCATGGACGGGATTCGGCCTGAAGTGGCAAGTAAAACCCTAACATTTACAAAGTCATACAGAATATTTAACAAAAAGTGCACATGATTTTATGGCAGAGAAGTAGAAGGCAAGACGGTTGAAAATATTGGTTTAATATGATCATTTTAAAAAAACAAAAAACAAGGAAATTCCATAAGGATCAAGTCAGAAGTCAAAGTGACGAATGAGGAACTCTTTCTGCTGTTTGATGCCACGACATGAATAAACTCTGTCTGTTGACTTGATATGCTCTCATGTCTCTCTTTGATGTACACACATATACAATTGAACCCTAAGTGTGTGCAAACAGTTACACTTTTGCATATTTACACATAAGAATGCATACAAGGAAAAGAGAACAAGGAAATGTGAGCATTTCCCTGTTAAGGTTAGGAGGAAGGAAGATTATACAGTAGTGGGAATATGTAGATGGGAACATTTCATTGTATGTTCTTTTTATCTCATATGGTAAAATTATTCTAGCATAACTGTAATCTCAAAGAAGTACTTAAATTTTTTATTAAGCAGTATAAGCTAATTGGTGATAGAAAATGACCAGTCACCAGCAACTTCATACATTCATACAGTCTTACAGCATTACTATCTGTGCTAAAGTGCAAAACTAGTTTTGAGTAATGCCCATGCACATCAAAGTCACATCATTCATGAGAACGGATCTGCAGACGTGTCCCAACAGTACATGACACATTAAAGCTTTCTCAAGCTTCCAGGCATGCATGAAGAGGACTTATTCTTGTTGAGTAATACAGGTTGAGTAATACCTCAGCTGTCGTTTTCCTATTACACTTTACACATTTGTTTGTGTGCCCTGGAAATGGTTAAAGGCAAGTAAAATAGCCATGTGAATGGCAGACTTTTGCTGGCAAGGGCTGGGTTCACTTGTCCTCTAAGAAGGAAAGGTTACTCCGTGTCAGTGAAAGTGATAACCTTTATCATGCAAAGAAACATTTCTGACCTTAACACAACAAATACTTTACTGCAGCTTTTCTTTTCTTTTTATGGAAGAATCCGATTTGAATGCTCCTTTCAGTTCGGATTTATTTTCATATAGCACCAGTTCTCAACAACAGTCGTCACAAGGTGGTTACAATAAAAGAATGCTAACAAAATGTTATAACCATGCAGGACAGAGGCAGTTATCTGATTTATTCTATCCCCTGCCTTGTAATTAAAAAGAACAATGCGGTCATTCACTTGATCACCAAACCAAAAAGGGTAATGTTTTTATACATTTAAAGTGACCATCACAAAAACAATGAGTTTAAGAAGATCGATCTGTTTCAGTCTGGAACGTCATAATGGTTAATTTCTCCTGTAATATGCAAGGCTGCAATGATTCTTCACTGTATTATGAATATTTTTAACAACCGCAGAGGACTCTTCCATTCTGCAACTGCCCCCTGGGCTGGACTTTTAATATTACTGACCAAAGGCCTCTTTTATTTAGTCCAAACAGCACATTAGACAATGGACATAAGGGAAAAGATCACAATCTAAATATAAACCCTGCTATCTATCTATCTATCTATCTATCTATCTATCTATCTATCTATCTATCTATCTATCTATCTATCTATCTAGATACACACACAAAAATTAAACAACAACATGCGTATAGACTTCAAGCTTTACTATAGCTTTTAATTTGGATTTGTTTGCCAAGTATTATAACCTATGCTTGTCTCAATCATGTTCAAAAAAACGATAATAGTCTGTCATGTCTTCCTTCCTTTAGTTAGTATTATGTATGTATACTAAGGTTTATTAAAGATAAAACTACCAAATATTCATTCAACGGCGCCATCTCGTGTTCATCCAGATGACCGCTCACCTTGAGTTTTCTCTCCGCTCTAATTTCTATTGGCTCCAGATCACTTGTCCCTAAGTGACGTTTCACCGTCCTAGTGGCTCTTTGATGTGTCCGTCATACGAGTTTACGGAACTGTATCCACCCACTACAAAGATGGAGGACGATATCTCAGATATGAGCAGACCACAAATGTACTTATTTGGTGAGCTCGCTAATTCTGACAAACCCGATTTTTTTGTTTGCACAATCAGTTTTAACGTCATGTTGTCATGCACAAATAGCCACTGGAGATTTTTAATCGGAAGATAGCTAAACAGCTGGCTAGCCTGCTTACCCCCTCCCACTCGCGCCAATTCAGCTCTTTTGTTAGCTAGCAGAGCATGGCGTGGAGCCACGTAAAGAAGCAAAATGTATATACACCTCTTTATCTGATAAAATGATATGCATGTGCGTATGTTTATTTAAGACGAGCGCAACCCACGGTTGGTTACACGTATTGTTTCCCCCTCAGGTTGCACCTTGAAATCGGACAAACGGGAATTCAAAGTTGACCTAGACGGCGATGAAACGGAGCAGCAGCTGTCACTGAAAGCAGTAAGAATCAGACTTTAGATCGAGTTTGCCTGGTCTTGAAAAAATTAATTCTTTGACTAATACGGCTATTAACTACGGAAGCCGAGATCGACATTGAGCGCTGTTATTCTTTAATGCTATACTCTCGCGATAAATTGTTATGTGTCTTGTAAATTCGTAATAACATAGTTTGTTTTATCGCGATAAGATATTAATTATCCAGAAATTGGGAAATGCCTTTGTTATGGCACGTGAAGATAAAGGTGTAGGCAATAAACAGAGAGAATAATATTACATATAGTATGTATATATAATTTAAAATATATCTACCCCTAAAAGACATCCACCCCTCAAATTTTCTATAATTCGCTTCCTAAGAGCCTATTATAAATTGGTCTTGAGCAATATTTCCTCAGGATTTCTGGAGGTCTTTCAAAGCTTTTCTTTGGAAATTTGGTGCTTTCTCACTCATTTGCTGTTCTTTTCTGAAAATCGACTACTTGCAATCTGTAGCAAAAACAAATAATCTGTTACGAAAAATGGCAAATAATAAGAGAATTTGACAGCCATGTAGTAGGATTTTTTGGTTTTTTTGGTTTTTGCATTGACAAAGTGATTCCCGAAGGGCTATCGGCCAAAGTCTTGGCTTATGTTGACATGGTGTATACTGTTTCCTTAAAAACAATTGAGGAAACAGGACATGTGGAGGACCAAAAAAAAAGAAGTGGCAGTATGAAAAAACTATTTACAGTCATATCCTTAAGAAACAGGAAATAAATCCAGCAAAGACTTGAAACAGGACCTGAGACATCAGATCTTTCTTCCATGTACTAGTTACTAAAATCTTATCAGAAATTGTGTAAGTGGAAGGGTGGCTGTCAAAAAGCCATTTTAAAGGAAAGGAAATGGGGAGAAAAGTCTGTGTTATGCCAAAATACACAAGAACTGGACAGAAAGTGACTAGTAACAGGTCTCATGGAGAAATGAATCCAGATTTAACATTTTTGGTTCAAATTGCCTTATGTACGGATGAGGTCAGGCAAAAGGGTGAGTGTCGCTATTTCTGAAAAACAGAATGTAGAAAAAAACCTGTCAGATTTGTTAATGGCTTCATTTTTCATCCTGACAATAATCCAGAATACACCTAGTGCAATAAAAGCATATCTCAATTTAAAAAAACACAATGAAAGATTCCAGTCAGTCGTGGTTTGACCTCCCCAGAGCCCAGACCTGAACCTTATTGAAGCAGTGTGGGATCATCTTGACAGAACTGAATAAAAGGCAGCTGACATCCAAAGAAGAGCTTTGAAAGAAAATAAATTGCATGTATGGCAAATATGGACTAAACAGACTTAAACTGGGTGTTTAGCCTAATCAGATGCATGAGGGAAGGCTGCTGGTTGAAGGATCAAAAAATCCCACATTGAAAAAAAACCCCACTCCTTGCACCCTAGCAATTGTTTATTAGAAGTTCCTTACCAGTAGTTTGTGAGCTAGTGAGCAGCGGATTGGAGTTTCGGCTCTATTTTATATTCTCCTGAGAACACGATTTCTGAAATGTTAACATATTGGATTTTTGGTATTAATTTATATTTATTTATTAATTTATTGTCATGGAGCATTCACAGCGTTAGTCTACTAACCTTACTGATGCAGTAGGCTATTTATAGATGATAAAACAGGAGTTTAATCAGATTAACAGTAACATTAACAAGAACAGTTTATGTTTGCACCAAAAAAAAAAAAAAGAGAGACATTTTGCCAGTACATGAAGGTAGTGTTATATAGCACACTGTTATTTTGTTCCAGGTGTGTCTGGGAGCTGAGGCTGAAGATAAGTTCCACATGGTGGAAGTTGAAGGCCTCACTTACGACGGGAAGACGACAAAAGTGCCGCTAGCTGTCCTTAAACCTTCCGTCCTGCCCTCTGTGAGTCAGCACCAACACTGACAGAAGTATTTAAGAGGCTTCTGGTTTAAATTAACTTGTTTTTACGGTCTTCATGCCTAATAAAAAAGAGAACTAAAAAGAAAAGGCATTTTCTCAGAACCATAAATACAAACATTACACTGTTCTGATAAATATAAATAATTCATAAATCGTTGACAAAATACTTATAATGTCATCTTCCTTCCTGCTATGTTTTTCTCCAGATGAGTTTAGGTGGATTTGAGATTACACCTCCAGTTACCTTCCGTCTCCAGTCTGGTTCTGGACCAGTTTACATAAGCGGGCAACATTTTATTAGTGAGTATTAAGGTTAAGACTCAGGTAACTATTTGCCTCATTGTTAAAATAAAGTAGGCATACCTACTGAAGACCTTGTCAGTGGAAAAATAGCAAGTTGTAAGTCTGACCTTCATGCTCGGTAAAACAATACAGGGTCAAATTTTCCAGCCCGAAAAAAGTCCACATATGACTTTACACTTAATTTTTTGAGTAAGTTTTTCTTCTAAAACAATGTTTTGGGGTAAAATAACATAAAGAAAAGTTGTATGATTGTTTGACAATATGTGACCAGTGTGTTCGCTCTGTCAGGTGTGAAGGAGTCTGATGACGAAGAGGAGGAGAACAATTCGTCGCCGGTAAAGCGGCCTGCAAATCTGCTGGCAGGGAAGAAACCCCCAATGGTAGTTATTGACATTGTCGTATTACATTGCTTTAAATGTTTTATATTTGCACTTATAGCAAAACTAATCATTGTTTACAGAAATTGTTCTCCTGCCGAGGTGGTGGCTTACTGCATAGCCTTCTGTTTAATGGTTGTCACGTTTAGTAATCGGTGATAAGATGCTATCGCGGGACGTCAGCATTAAAGTGCACTGTTACTTATTCTGACACCCCAAATAAGCCTCAAATGTTGTTTTTGACAAAAAGACGATTCATATTTCTTGTAGAAAAAGCTGAAGATGGATTCTGATGATGGTGACGATGATGATGATGATGAAGAAGACAGTGATGAAGATGATGATGAGTATGTTTTTATTTTATTCATTTATTTGTTTATTTAATTGGCTTAGTTTTCTAAATAATTTTGCATTCTAAAAGATAACATCTTTGTGAACTCATAGTATAAAATCTATTATTTTGTGTGTGTGTTTTTTTGTAAATTTTGGGCACAAACATCGAGCAGTGTAGCTTTTAACCAGCTTACTTGCTTCTTGTAGCGATGATGACAGTGATGAAAATGATGTGAAGCCACAGAAGAATGTGGGAAAAGTGCTTACAAAGGTAAGCTTCATCCGTTTTGTTTTATTACAAATAACAATCAACCTTAAGGTTCTCCATGTTAAAAAATATGAGAGTAGGTTTGAGGTACAATCAAATATGGAGGAAATATGGTCAAATAAAAACATTTGTGTATCATGGAGTTTGTGATAAATGCAGTTTGGATTTGTAATCTTGGAAAGAAAGTGACTGGAAGTTTCTTGAAGACATCCGAGGAGCTTCTTGAAAAGTGAAGAAGCTTGCTTTCTTTCCAAGCTGCTTGGACTAACTTGACCTGGATGACTGAGAACCTACACAGACATATCATGTGCCTGCTTTCTGCATCTTTGATTTAGGCAGCACCCTTTGCTAAATTAAACAGAATATTTCCAGTAGTGAGTGTGTCAAAAGTGGGCAGTGTCTTGCGTTGTGCTATATGTGAGAAAGGATAATCTGACCTGATTCTCACCATATTTTTTAAAGTTTGTGCGTTAAACAACTTTAGAAAAGCAGAAATCACCTATTTGCTTCATCAAACTCGTCTGACTTGACGTTTATAAACCTTCATTTGTTTATAAAAATGCTGCACACCAACTGGCCCACTGAAAGAGTGTTATTGGAACGTGGCACCAGATAAAGCCTGGATTATACTTAGGTTGTGGACACAGACAGCTGGAGACTCAGTGGCCAAGTACTGATTCCTGTGATGCTTCTTTGAAGTCTGCCGCCTCGAGCGTCACCAGGACCCAAGTGGACTTGTACATGCCGAAAGTATCATTTCTGTTTAACCCCAGTCATACAGCTTGAAGGAGAGAAACATACGATTCTGTCCTTGCTCATTTAAGTATTAACGTTAGTGTCATTGTAAATAAATAAAGAGGACTGTTTACATTTCATAACCATTTCTGGAAGTATGTTTGGGAAACGTTGCTACAAAATTAATATGAACCAGTGCTCATCAGAATTTAGTTGTTTTTTTTAACCCTAAGAACATAATGAGCAGTTAAATTGGAATATCTCTGAATATTAATAAAAATTGTTTAACTTTTTAGAGCTTCTGTCCAGAAAAAACTTTTTATTTACAACTTTTTAGTTAAAGAAAACAACAATAAAAAGCTAACAAAGAGATGCCATCACCATCAGTGTCTCGAATTTTGCTATTTAAATCATATTGAACCAAACATTTATCATGTAATGTACTGTGATGACCGTTGCCCTTTAAGCATTGCGGATCTTTGTAGTTTTCAGTACCTGAGAGGAAACTGCCATGATCAAACTACTTTTCCATACACAGCGTTTTCATTGCTTTGTTGCGGTCATAATTACAGAGAAGAAGGGCAAGTACATTTTGTTTATTTCCACTCACAGTGAATTGAGTTGTTTATTGCTTTCTTGCTTTCTTTTCTATGAGCTTTTTAAGGCACTTGATAGATTAGTAGAGCTAGAGCAATTCTCAGGGTGCTGTTACCCCCATTTGAGAAGCTACTATCTGATAGGCTCGGATAATTTGTATTTGACAAAATTCATTAGATGCAAGGACACATTTTTCCAGCCTGTCTTTGAGAGCTGTGGATATTTCCACATCTTAGTTTCACTTTTAGTATTATTGCATAAACATTTATTGATCTTTTGTTTATTGACTCATTTGTTCTGTCATTTTAGTTCAAACAAAGTTTCTTGCGGTTCAGTAACTCTGATTTTTACAGTGGAATGTATTTGTGTTTCTGAGCCTTTGTTGTCCACTAGATGTCAGGGCAGCCATTAGCGTCCCCTTAGTGTTTGTTTGTGTGTGCGTGTGTGTCTAGAAAGAATTTCTCTAACCCTTTTTTTTAACCACATCATTTAAACTTCCACTCACTGTATGCTACAGTAGCATTTCATTTTAGCAGGCCCTCCCCATTCGTGCACTCGCTGACCGTCCACCTCTTTGTATGAGACAAAACATGGAACTTTTTCATCCTGTTCGCTCAAGTACCCACCTGTTTTCCTAGAGTAAAACACAGGGTCTGTGTGGTGTAATGATCGGATTTCTTCTCTGTAATCTGCTTGAATTCTCACCGTCTCACCAGCAAGACAACAGTATGTTATGCTGTGCGTAAGCAGACACACACACACACACACACACACACACACACACACACACACACACACACACACACACAGGGATAAATACACTTTAGTAGACATGCACATTTGAACATATAAGTACATATAACCTCTAGCGTAAATGCACAAAGTCTGCAAACAAATGCACTTCATTCTGGTAGCGCATAAGCAGAGAACTGCACTCTACATACTGTTTCTCACCCATGCGTGCTCACACGCACATGCACTTCAGTTATGGGAAACATCTTCAACCATTTTTCTGAAACACTGCATATCTTTGTCCCTCTGTCATCCCACTGTTAATATGATTGCTCCTTTTTATCGTTTCTCATGCCATTTCAGCTTTGCACCTGGGTTTTGCCTTTGAACACTTGTTTTGCATGTTACCACAATCGCTTGCAAGTGTGTGGGTGCGTGTGTGTGTATCTGCCTCATTTTTACGTCGGTGTCTGTTTGTGATTTCGTTCTTCTATTTTTTTAAAAGCACGCTATCCAAGTGCAAACTCTGCCAGGCAAAAGATCAAAGCAGGGCAGATGCGCATACCTGCGACGTGAGCGCCGATCCTTCCCTCAGGGTCAGATGACAGCTGAGCATTTCTGTCACCTGTTGATTTATTCTGTTGTCTTCTCTTCCAATTCCTCCTGCACCCCACACCCCATTCCTTCCATGACCTTAATCCTTTTTTTCACCCTTCGTCTCTTTAGCTCAATAGCTACCCTGTCTCATTCTTTAATAATGAAAGCACAAAGCTTTGGGGAAGTAGGGCTGGGAACAATTATTATCCCTTTTTTTTACTGCTAATTCAGCTGTGTTTCAAGCTATATTTTGCTTTCTTTTTCTTGTCAAACCTCCATACTGTACTGAATAGGACCCAAAACATCTCAGACATATTCAGTATCAAAATTGAATCAAATCCTTTTTCATATGAATCTACATTTCTTGTTATTATTTGATCATGTATTTTTGATGAACAGGTAATCAGGATATTAAGCTGTTCTTGTGTAGATTAGTATTGTCACGGAATCTCACGTGTTTTAAATAATTACACACTACTTTTGTGTTTCTTGCAACAGATTTGTACAGGGTTTATAAATGTTCTTTACTCAAATTTACTGGACAGCAAATTGCCTATTGATTGGAAGATTTCGTGCTCTCTCTAAACACTTAATATCATTATTAATGGACTGTAATAACTGTTGAGCCTGTTGAAAGACTGGAAAATGTTCTTTACTACAAGCTGACACGCGTGTCACTCATCTCATCATCCTTCAAGAGTTGGTCTTTGGTTTCCTCTTTCTGTGAATGGGTCTTAGTGCTTTGTAGCAACATGAGCGCTCTAAAGTCGCACCCAGAATACCTTCATAACTCCTGAGTTGGAAAGAGATGGTAGAAAGGTGTGAAGAAAACAAAAAAACAATGGAAAAACAAGAGTTTCCGAGGTCATCCACCTGCTGACATATTACAGAATCTCTGTGTTTGGGTAGATGTGGTAGATATTTTTTAATTAAACTTTAAAAATTACAAGAGTTGCAGGTTTGCATTGGTCGTAAAGCCCTTTTTGACTGGGTACCTACATAACCCTAACCCTTGGTATAATCGTTGTGCTCATCCTAATCTCATTCAAATTTCTCCACAATTTGTCTGAAATACCCCCAACATTTTTGGGGGTATTTTAGAGGTCAGGAAATTCAGATGGTTGGTGTAATATAACCATATAAAACAGAAAAATGAGATACAAATGTTGATGTACAGATTCTATTTGGTAGACTCAGATGCATCCATGATGATGTTTAGTTTCTCTTGATTGAATTTTGGCTTTGAAACCTCACTGTTACTTCCAGCATCTTATATTGCAGGCGTTGCTGTAGGATATTACATGTGTGATTGCATTGTAGCATTTGTGTCAACACAGGCAATTACACTTCTAGTCCATTCCAAGGTGAATACCAGTGATTGCAAGAAAGGATTTGCTGCTTAGGATATTCAGGTACTTGCCAGCTTTTCCAAGGTAATTACATATGTGACTGAGAGCAATCAAAACCTGACGGGAAGGAATCCAGTGCAACAATTACAGGTTGTCTGGGTACTAAGTACCTGATCAATGAGAAATCACTAATTAAGTGTAGTCCTTAATTAATGATTAGCACTATTAAAGGTATGCTTTTAACATACAAAGGAAGGCAATTGTTTTGCTGTCATATCTAATTAGCTGCATAACCTTATAACTGATGCTATTTCTTTTCTCTTTTTTGGTTTAGGTTTTACTTTTCTTGGCCTTTTTCTTGTGCTTTTTTATGCACACATGAAGCAGTAACACCTTATAGGAGTGGGAGAAAATATTGTGACAAGTCATGGCAAAACAAGAAATGGAGTTACTGCAAATGAGGATAATGTTTTGTCACTTGCCATTTATTATTTATCGGCTATAAAAGGGGGGCATTGCGTTTAGCAAGAACATCAGTGGGATACAGATTTTTAGAGGGTTAGGAAATTGTAAATGGCCAGCAGTCTAAACTGAGCCACATGTGTTGCATTGAATATTTAGTTAGTTGAGTTGGTCAGAACACGAGGGCAGGCTTCATTGAGTTGTCAGCAATGAACAACAGCAGTTAAGTAACTTCAGTCTGTCACTTTTGGTTTTGTTTAGCGTGATTAACTGCCACTAGCTGTTCTCACACATAAATTCTAAAAATGATCCAAACTTGAATTTTCTCATTTACAGCACACAGCAGAAATAGACAGATTCAGAGATGCATGTGTGTAAGATGCATGATGCCCCCTCAGTCGCTCTGAATTTACTAGACAATTACCAGCGCTAAATCCGTGTGGACATAGTCTTTGTACAAAGGAGCTGATAGGTTAAAAAGTTTTACATGTTCCAAACAATATCTCTGTCAGATAGTATGAAGGAAAGCTCAGGGCTGTAGTGCATGCATTAAGAAAGCATTAACATCTTTATGAATTTCAGGAACCCGGTGTGGTGAATTGAGCTGTTTAAAGTACACACATTTCTATGGAGCTCTGAGATATCTTACTGGGAATGTTGTTCATTTCCTCAGATCCCGGAGTCCTCACCTAAGAAGCCCAACAAGACTCCAGTAAAACAAAATGGCCCTGCAGGAAAAGCCTCAGGATCAGCTGTCAAACCACAGATTAAGGTATGCCCAAAAGATTTCCGAAGTAAATCTTTGTTTACCTGCGGTTGGCTTGTGGGTATTTAAAATACCCAGTTGTTAACCGTTGTACTCCAGATCAAAAGTGTTTAAGAAAATGTGTAACATTGCAATTTTTATGGGAATTTTTTTATTATGTCACTAGTTACAGCAGGGTAAAGTCAAAGCCAGTAGTTGTATTTCTGAAGAAATGTGTCGTGTTAGGCATAGAAACAAGTATACAAACAATAGATGATGAAAAGTTTTACAGAAGAGTGGATAAAAAAGTACACAATTACATAATGTTTTACAGAAGGTGAGGGAACTTTGCTAAATTGGTTGTTTGCATTTACTGCCATTATCAATTGAAAAAATGCAGGCTCACCAAATGGAGGGGAAAAGACACACAAAAAACTTGGAGAGCCTTCCCATTCCAAAGCCAAGGAATGTGATAAATGCACGGTGCAATTAGTTCAACCTGATAGTTAATTTCTTCGATGGAATGTCTTGGACAGCCACTTCTGAAAACCTAAAGCTTGAACTCTGCCTGTCTTTAAGCAAACACACCTGACCTCTAAACGGGTTTCCTGGGGCAAGGTTTAAACCTGCGACCTTTTAGCTTGACCTCGCCATCTTAAGTTGCAGCCACCTTTGATGCCCCTCACCCCTCTGTAGCTCGCGCACACTTTAAGAAAAACAAATTGTCAAGCTTCTCTGCAGGTTTACATACTTCTCAAAGCATGTTACTGTGAAAGAAAATACTTGGACAGAAACTCGGCTCAGATAAGGTGTTACGTGTTGGCATGCGAATGTTGTCTGTTTGTATGATAGAAACATGACTTGCGCTCACTTACGCAGACAGGGCGCGTGAGAAGATTATCGTTTCTCGTCTGACATCTTGATGGAAAGCTTTGTGATTTTTTTTTTTGTCATGTTAAACACTAAGCCACAGGATTACCGAACCCCTGAAGGTGTAGTGCCCTGAAGGGCATGCTGTATGGGTGAGCGCAGTTTATAATGCAGTAGTTGTTGTCCAGACATAACACAGCGACTCTTGAAATGCTCTTGGGGATTAGCCAATGGGCAACTAAATCGCCCCAAACCAACCTGCTGGTTTAACTTTCTTGCCTGTGGTGCTTTGAATGCTTCCATCCCCTCTCAGCTTCTTCACAACTGTTCTCTCTCCACCACCTCTTCACACCCCTCACTTCCTGGACACACCTTCTCCCAATTGCTCTCATTACCAGTGTTTGATGTCTGGTGCAGCTTGCGCTTCCAGATGCCCCTGAGGAGCGAGGAAGCGGGTGTGGGTGTCTGTTTTTTTCGTTCCTAAATGCAGGTGACTGGTCATTAGATTGGCTTGTCAGATCTGTTGCCAGTACCACGGTTCTCACCTCTCACGGCCCAGCGTGTAGCTGCACCTTCTTGTATAACAGGCTCGACGTGAGAACCAGCTAACTCGAGTTGCGCTGATCTGAAGTAACTTTATCTTGCAGCTGGTGTCGGTTGATTGATGGGTTTGGCGAAGCCGATGCCTTCGAGCACACGTCAGAGTCGTAAAGTTGTTAACTACTTCACTCAGCCTTATCCCACAAGGGTTTGAGTCATTGTTTTAGCGACTGATTGGCATGTGTTACAGCAGGTGCATATCTTGTAAGTGCTTTAATATCTTTTGTCAATCTGTCATTTTACCATTTGGACTCAAAGATAGACCAAAAGATCAACTCATTAAAGTACCTGTAGATACAGAGGCTTTATAGGATGAGAGTCACTTTTTTTCCGTGTGACCTGACATTTTCCCCCTACTTGTGCCTCCAAGGTTTTCATTCCAGCAAAATGACAATTACTATCCCTGAACAGCCCTGATGAGCAAAAATGTCACAACCATGTATTTGCACTGGATTGAAGATGAGAGATTACATCAAATGATAGCGTGCTTGTGATTAAGTTCCATGTCTCATGGCATCTGTAATCAGTGTCTGGGCCAGATGAAAAAGCTTGTTGGCTTTGTGTGTTTATCAGCTGTTTCAGGTCCACAGCTGTCCCTTGGAAGTGGAGAGCTGCCTGTAAATAATAAACGTGTAGTGCATTTGTCTGGCTAGGAGCCAGAAAAAAGGCCATTTTCTTAGTGTGGTATGTGTGTGCCAAGGTTTTGTTCATTTTATACCTTTTAATCTCTGCTATTAAAAGAGAACCTGATCTCTCAGAGGCAGGGACAGGGCATTGTGGCTACACGTGTACGACTAATTACAAAATTTTGGGTCTGGTATTTGGAAGATGAGAGCTTCTCCTGGAAGGCCTGTTAAACTTAGGTTATGCATGGCAAGACATTACATATATTATGTTATGCAGTTATTGTTCTTTTTTTTGCAATCAGCACATTTTGACTCAGTATCTAAAATTAAAGATACATATAATGACCTCTAGTTCCAGTAGGAATGACACTACAAACAGTGATTTCTATGTCCTTGTTAACTAGTGAGCTGCTAGATGTCACCATGAAATAGTATAGTGTCGTAATGCAGGCACACAGACATACAGTTGGTTGACTATAGAGTGGGTATAGAGTTTCTCTGTACATCTATACACTGTCATCTTTCCGATGTGTCTCTGGCTATCAATGAAACCCTGCAATTTCGCTGAATTCCACACTCCGCTTTGCATGTAGGGGCAAGCTCCATGGCTTGCATAACATGCAGTAACAGAGTATGGCGTATGTGTGTTTTTGTTGTGTCACATTCAGACACTTGCTAATTGAGGACCTGAGTCGTTGGCTGCCCAGGTCTGGACACACCTATTGGCCTACTAGTTCAGTGCTCGCACTTCTCTTCCTCAGAAACACAGCAAAGTCTTTGTGTTTTGAAACATTTACTGTTGCAAATCTGGTGATAGTATTGTTTTTTTTAATCCTGACCATTGGTAGTAAATACAGTACTGTGCAAAATTCTTGAGCTACACATAATTTCTTTATATTTTGATCGGCAGAAAGCAAACTCTGTTTTTACCTGATATACTGTATTTCCATTTATGTTTACATGTTTCAATAAATCACTGCACCTGTTTTCCATTTTCCAATGAAAATATACAGAAATGAGTGGCTGCTTTTTGCCCAGACAGTACTGTCTGTTGAAAAGAAAATCTGTTGCTTTATTTGTGCAAATCAATAATTTGATATTCAGTAGAAATCTTTTACTGACAGCAGCCATAAAAGCTAAAGTTGCACTTTTTTTCTTTCGAATTCAGTGTTTGAGAAACTTTTCTTCAATGGAAAACACTTGACAAACAACCTGAATTGCTCACTGGAGAGTCAGGGCTTGCCCTCTCCTGCTTGCAGACAATAAAAACATAATTTGTACCTGATGTATTTGTTAAAAAAAGGATGATGGTGTAATTAGGCTAGAATTTGTTGTCCTCTCCAATTCTTTTATCCCCTTCCAGCTGGTTGCCCACGCCAAGGCTTTAAACACAGACCAAGGCTAAGTGGGTCACAACAGGGCTTTTGCCCAGACTGGCCTGTTGGTCAACAGATTAATTAATCAGCAGCATGCTAAATTTAGCAACTGTGTGTTTGGTTCATTTTAGCAAAATAATACTGATGGCAAGAACTGAGCTTGTGTTAACGATGAAATGCTGTGGCATAATCTGAAGCCATCATTTTATCTATAGCTCTGTAAATTTCTAGTGTCTTATCTAGTTGATGTACTTTTCCAGACACCTGCCCTGGGAAAAGACAAACAACAGCCCGGCCCATCTAAATCTCTGCCTGAGATTAAGAGCAAGTTGTCAACTGCAGCCAAGGAGGTAAGGCTGCTGTTTTTTTATTTGTTTTTAAATGATCCTTCATAATTTAATGACAGTTGAGATTATGATGATTTAATTGTCCTTTTCTTCAGGGAAAGCCACTTCCAAAGACAGAGCCGAAGTTTGAGAATTACTTGAGAAGTGCTTTTAAAATCTCAGACAAACAAGTAAGTAATCTTTGTACAGTGTTGTGAGAGCTTTTTGCTTATGTAAATTATTAAAGCGGACCTGTTGTGCTTATTTCCAACTTCATGTATATCTTTTTGGGCCCTTCTAGAATAGTTTTTCATTCCTCACAGTTCAAAATAATCTTTATCCAATATGTTGGAGCAGCCCCTTTAGCTTCCATTTAAGCCAGCGTTTGTCCGATTGGCTGTCCCTTGTAAATAAAAGCTTTGAATAGCAGGTGAGAGAGGCCTGTGCTCACACCAGAAATATGCCTGAGATGAGCATAATAAGGGATGTGTATATGTGCTCCCTTTAAGTTTGTACATTTTTATCCCATGTGCAGTTCTCATCAATTTTCTGCTGTTCTGCAGTCTATGTAATCGGTCTCATAAACGCTCACCCAAGAGTGGCTGTTTTCCGCCAGGTTTCTAGGAATACTCCTTCAGATGTAGAGTGTTAGCAGTCGCATTTATGCCCAAACTCATTTTATCTGTAAGAGCTCATTGCCATGATGTATAACCGGGCATACGTTATTCTTCCTCTCACTCTCCTCATACTTTATTCTGTTCAGTTTGCCTCAAATGTTTCTCCAGCACAGTGTGTACTCTTTGAATTATATTCACACTGTTTCGGTGGGCTCTTGCGAGATGGATTTGGGAGTACACCTGCCAAGGCAAACTCTTTCACGGTGATTTAATGGAAGTGTGTCTTTTGTAGCCCTAATGAAGCGACTGGTGGTATGTGCGTGGTACCAGCCTTTTTCGCTTTCAAGGCCTTTGACCAAATGCAAGCCTTAAATCTTTTCTAATGCAGCTTCTGTCGTTTCAGAAGAAAAACAACATCCCCTGCACATTATTTTGCAAAGCATGAATTAATCACCCTTAAACCCTTAGATGATCACTGTAGACTTAATGATTCTGGGCAGTGTGTCAGATAGTGAAGTTGTGTTTTCTGTATTAAGGCATCTGTTAGATGGCGATCACTTGAACCGAGCTATTTGAACATTCATATGTGATTGCTTTGCAGTGTTTAAATAATAACTGTACAGTTATGAGAGCAGGTGAAAGCTCTTTAGAGCGGCACATGGGTTGGGTGGACAAGGGAAAGAGTGGGGGTGGAGTTGGGTCAGGGAGAGCTTGTTGATCCCACTGTGTAGAAACATCTGTGGAAGTGCTTTGGTTTCATCAGCCAAGGCTGAGATCTGTCAGACCTGGAGCACCTAGTCATATACTCTGGTATGTAATGCTGCCCCCACCCAGCCCCTCGTCGTTCCCCCAACAGCCCCATCCAAATTCAGTGTTCCCACAGCCGAGACGCACAAAAGCATGTTGTAGTAAAAGTGAGTCATGTGTCTCATGCTGTATAGCACTTCATTTAGATAATTTGTAATTTTTCTCTTTCTTTCCTTGTTTCTTATTTTGGTGTTATCCCTCTTTTCTCTCTCCTTCCACAGGTGGTCAAGGGTCTTTGGAGTTTTGTGCAAACACTGAAGACTGAGAAGAAGTAACATACACATACATTAAAGCATTTGTACATTTGCATCCTATAAGGCATTTAAAGGCACAGTCGGCTAGATTTCCTAATCGGTCTCCTTCTTTCAGCCCTGGGAAGGACTATGATCAGATGAAAATGGACTGAGTGCTGAAATATGGTAGAGCCATCAATGCATAGATTTAGGTGTCAATGTTTTTCTTCTTCGTTTTTTCCTAGACTGAAAGGACCAACTATTGAGTTGGTTCTTTCACAGACTCGATTCATGTTTAGCAGACTGTAGATTTGCTGCAAGGGGAAGCTGCGTGCATCACAATGGGCGGGGTCTGTGTTGCTACTACAGGAAAGGAAAAGTTTCTAAAATTTATACTACCTGCAGATTTATGTAGCTCCTGTGTATCACTGAATATGATCATTATTAGTTAACAATAAATCTTGTACTTGAAGTATTCAAAACCAAAACCAGGCCAAACTTAGAACCTAACCTAGTTAGTAGTTGCTAGTTCTTTCGTACGCCCTGTTGGCAAAACAGTATTATTTTTATACCAGCAGAAGGACTCACTAACACAAATGTGCTTGACAAAAAGTAAACAAAATTTTGAAACTGTTGAAACGCTGCCTGCAGGTGGTGTAAGTGTTACAATACAGAAGCTATTCCTTTCCTTGCCTGTAGGTGGTGATATCCTCATTGAACGTCCCACTTTCTTCAAATACTGAAGAAGATGCAGGTCACATTGAAACAGCATCTGGGTGGAAATATATGAAATTGGTTGATTAGCATCTGTTTATCATATTCAGTCATTATTGCAAGAGGAGGTTATGCAGAATGTGCCTTTAAATACAGTCCTGATCAAATGTTTAAGACCACCTGAAAAATGGCCAAAAATCATACTTTGCCTGGTTGGATCTTAACAAGGTTCCAAGTTAGGGATGGGTATCGAAAAACTGGTTCTTGTTGAGAACCGGTTTTCGATATCCATCCCTAACTTGCAACCTTGTTAGGATTCAACCATGTAAAATCTGATTTTTTTTTTGTTGTTGCCATTTTTCAAGTGGTCTTAACCTTTTGACTGGGGAATGTATCTCTACTGTAAACTGAGATAAACCCATTTTGTGTGAATTTGAGCAGCGCATATGTAAATGGTGAAGACAGCTAATAAAAGAGGACCGTTTGACAGCTAGAAAATTTAATCAGTCAGTGACAATAAAAGTTGTTTGTTATTTCAGCTTTGAGGAGTTAAAAAGCATTTCCGCTTACAGACTTACAGATTGTACATGCGGTTTTTTGAATACTGTATTGTTTTAGTCAAACCACAATCAGTCATTATAATATAATACAATACAATTATATTTTTTAACAGCTTGGCCAGCAAAATCAATAAATATGTTTCTCCCAGCAAAAATTAAGCAAATAGGCAAAAAGATGTCACAAAAATAAATGCATTAAAAAACAATTTTTGCAGAGTAAATCACCTTAAAAAAACATATAAGAACTCATATCTGTAATTGTTTGCAGTCATATATCAGTCCTCTGATGACAACAAACTTTCGTTCATGCTGAGCTTATGATGTGTTTCTATTCTCATTTAATATCAAAATGTTCCACATCTTAAACCAATTAAATTGATATGCTCAAACTCTACATTATCAAGCGTTTTTGCTATAAAATGTATTACTTCAATTTTAATAACGGAAGTTGGCCCTGTAATTTACCCAAATGTAATTAATAATTGTTAGTGATGTCTTCTTTACACTGAGGTTTCAGTAGCAGCAGGTTGCCAGGCCCAGTCTTTTGTCCTTTTGCTTTGCACGTGTTTGAGTGATTTTTTTTAAAAATACTTTTGTCATATCAGTCCTAATGAACGTTGTGTTGTGTAAACATATTTCTTGCTTTTATTTACAAGACCGGCAGCTGGACAATTGCAGTTTAGGTTTTATCCTGCCCTTTCTAATCGTTTCTTTTACTGCTTTGAGCTGTTTTCTTAGTCTTTGTTTCACATATTGTGTTCTAGTAAAAAAAAATCCCTTATTAAAATGTCTGGAATATTGTTCTGATTGTTGTTGATCTTTCGTTTTACACACGATGTGTGTAAGTTTGTCATATTTTGGGCAACGGTGAAGCCAGGACCTTAAACAAGTCCAAGTGCAAAAAAGTGATTGTTATTTGTTGAAAGCTGACGCATGTTTAAGGCTCATTATTTTTAAATAATATTTGTAATCACAAACATCTGGTTTAATTTGGCTGTAAAAAATGTAAGGGATAATAGGAGCAGACTCTTTGTAACGGAGCTGTTTCTCATTTTTTGGCAGTACATGATGAGCAGGTGATGCATGTATCGCTTTACTGAGCGAGCTTTGTCCCAAACCATGTAATGGCACTTCACTGAATTTAGTTACTTCATCCAAATGGTTGTCTTTTTTTTCCTGTAACATAAAATACAAACTGTAAGCTAGTACCCATCTTCAGTTTGACTGGATGTCAAAACAAAGCCACATGAAATTTTAATTTACTGTGTGATGTAGTCAAGTATAAATTGTAATTAGGTAGCTTTGCTGACCCATTGTGTGTTAAAATAAAATGCATTGTGTCCATTTACTACATCAGACTTAGTTTATTGTTAATGGTTTGTTGAGAGGAACATGTGCGTCCTTTTTTGTACTTATCTGTAACATTTACCTGAATAAAATAAATTCTAGTAAGTCTTTGACTTACATTCTACCCTCTTTACTGTAGACAACACCATTTGACAGTATCATTATAGTCACATTTGTAACTATGTGACTGACGTGACGACTTTCAGCTGTAATTAAGTGGGTTTAATAAAAAAAAAAAATCATGCACCAGCAGTTTCGGAATTACAGACATTTTTATACAGTCTCCTTTTCAGGAGCTCAAAATTAATTTGACTGTTGAATAATGAGCAGTTTGATGGGCAGGTGAAGCCTGTTCCATTGTTATTTCATGACAAATGAAGCAGACAATATCTTGAGATGATTTCAGATTTAAGACCGCACAAATACAATTGAAATCTGAATTTATATTATACAGCTTTTGACTATAATTTTAAAATACAAGCTTCAAAGAGATTGCAACTTTAGGTAGGCTACCGTTAACCGAGCTGAAAACCATTTCAAAACGTTAGGCATTTCATTGTCCATGTTGACGGTCATAAAATGCCATCATGAGTAGAAAAATACAGAGTTAAACCAGTGGTTTACATAAGGTGCAAAGTGCAAACCACTGGTTACACTCAAGAATTGAAAGGCCGGATTAGATTTTGCTAGAAAGAAAATCTAAAAGGAAAAAATGAGATGAAACCAACAAACCAATGCAGGGCCCAGGTATTGCATCATAATACCATGTCGAGCAAAATACAAAACTACTGAAAAAACAAGAAAGCGCTGTCATTGGCCTCCGCCTGGAAAACCAATCCTGTTTTGGGGGTTGTCTCATTGTTGCCTCTCTAGTGGGAGAACTGTTGGCAATTTCATCAACACCGAATCACTTAAAATGATTAATAACGTCCTCTGCTTCTTTACCCACCAGATCAATATCCCAGAAGTTTAATTGACTTGATGCTGCGCTTTGATTAAAATGTCCCTCTATGTTTTTGTAAACAATATTCAGGAATGATCTTTTTCCAACAAATTCTGGACCTAACTGCAAAAAATGACTGTTGGACCATATATATTGTATATAAGATGACTGAGGTATAAGTGTATTTTTATTATCACGAATCGAAAATATGCTGCGTTCACATGGAACTTATTATGCCCATAAATTCGCTTTGTCACACGATTAAGGTTGATGGGAAGAAACCACCCCCATTAAACCTCATGTACTGGAAACTAAGCATAAACACCAGTGACTGTCAGATGTTAAGCATGTTAAGTTGTTCATCACTACATGAACTTTTACACTACATTTATCATTAACCTTTTACATTTGTTTGCAATTTATCCATGTTATTGTTAGTTTCCTTTGTTGATAACATGGCTGTGAAATTTCAGCATAAAGAAACAATTATGAAGCATATGGGCTACATTACCTTTCAAAATTCGCCAGATTTGGTCTTTTTGTCACAGACTAAATGAAAACTCTGTGATTATATATCTCCTGATGCTTCCAAATACCAGAGTTCCACAACCTTTATATTTTGAGTCAGTCCTTTGTAAAGTTCCTTAACATTGCCAAAGAGCTGAGGTTAGGGAACGCTTTGTTTCTTTTAAAATATTTGCAAGAATCTGTTCTGACTACATTCACAGAATTATCAACACACATCTGGCTGTTAAAAGAAATTTAAGTCCAAGGTGACGAACCATCCACCTTTGTAGTCTCCACTGGGTGGCACTGAAGTCCAGGCATTAACTTCAAAGCCAGACTCATAATGATATAAATTGATTAAGCTTTTACCTGAAGTGTGAGTCAAGCATTACTTCACTGCCAGCTGAAGAGTTTTTGCCCCCTAGCCACGAGGAAGTGAGGCGCACTAGCAGATGCAGCCACGGGATGACGCACAATTTTATGTTCCAAACAAGACGATTGCGAAGCACGTGGAAATCCCCCTATTGTAGTTCACTTGAATTCCAGTCCAGGGTTTGACTGAACCAGCCTGGAGGTATTGACACACTCTTGCACATTGAAATCCCACTGAAAACACGTTCAAATATAGGTGCTATAGAAGTAGGCTTACAACTTTCTCTAAGTGTGGCAAGAAAATAGGAGTATTGACTTGCAGTATTTAATTCCACTTCAGTTACCGGCATCCATTACCAGTAAATTAGGCATCAGACAGGTAGATACCAAGAAAGAAGGGCACTAAAAGCAAAGATCATCTTTAGAAACCGGTTTGAAAAGGTAAAAACTAAATGGTACAAATCAACAAAAGGATGCAAGGACAAGAAACACGAACACTTCCCAGTTCTAGTGATCTTCATAACTCTTAAAATTGCAGGAAGCAGAAATGTATAAAAGGGAATAAACACCCATCCTGCAGCTCTCCCTTCCTCTACAGTCCAAGTCACTTCCACGAAATATGCTTGACAACAGCTAGAAAGAAGTCTATGAACCGAGTCTTTCTGTTTAACAGAAGATTTAAACCGTACTCACTCAGGTGAATGACCTTTGCTAAACACATTAAAGAGACCCGTGTTTGACCAAGGCCTCTGCCCAAAAAGCCCAGAGGGAAGCAGGTGTCTAGTTCCTCATTGAGCGTACTCACTAGGTGATCCATATCGTGCCAGTTGAGCAAACCATGCCTATGAAAAGATGGGCTTGGGTGTGGTGTAATTGTAGTGTGGTCAACTACAGCTGCCTCTATAAAAGTTGCTTTGTTAAGTAATTAGCAACTACGTGAGGGTTCAAAGTGTCACCACTGCAGTTAAGTGAGAAAAAACGAAAAAGTTAAACCCTGAATCTCTTTTCAAAAGCCCACGTGTTTGTGCATAAAAGGGAAACGGCAAAGAAAAGAGAGGATCTGAGATGCTGAGACAAAGAGACACCTACTCAGGCCCGCATCTTCACTGTAATGGGAGTGGGGAGGGTGGGCAGCCATGCCTAGTGTTTTTGGATGTTTGTGCTCAGCTACACCGAAAAGCTCTTCCCTACTCCAGTGCAGGTGATCACAACTTCACGTTCAATATCCTCAACTCTGCAAGTGGGGCTATTTTTTTCCCTAAAATGGCATCATTGCTTTAGAATAAGGCAGAAATAAGAAACTGGCTTCTCAAAGCTTTCACATATAAACACCCTGCGAACTTTAATGGCACCAGGGTGAGTGGAAATATGTTTTACTTATCTAATTTGAATGAAATGACCCTTTAATCCTTCATTAGTCAGTCAGTGCCTTACGATAAGAGTTAAACCACACAGACGCACAGCAGGTGGGCTGTACACATGTGAGACTGCAGGTATCCATACCCAG